GGATCTTCTGAGATTCAATAAAATCATAACTTGGGGTTTGATAGCTAAACCTTCATCTACTCATACAACTTAAATCTTCTTGCAATATTATATACATGCTTTGCAGGTACTGACTTTTCAAGTGATGGGACGAGAAGACTCGCCAGGTACGCTTTTACAGTTTACAGTACCATCTTTTCTTGTACTTTCCACACATTATTTTTATGAAACTTGCATGTTACAACGATGACACCCTACATGAAAACTAATACCGCTAGGATAGCTAGAAAACCAAAACCAAAACTAAAATCAATCAAGGTAAAATTCACTGCCACAACATTCAAAATATAAGAAAACTCAAAATTTAATCACAAACAGCACAAAACAACAATTGCAACGAAATTAAGACGTCTTTATTGGATGATCGGGAATCCCTCGGAGGAGGTAACCTACGGTTGCTAACGAGGCTTCCCACGGTCTAAATGAAATTATGGAACTCATTAAGTTGAGTTTAGTAAATTCATTTGGACTAAATAAATCCAATAGAAAATAGTGGTAACGGAATGAGGGAACTGTTGGATCCTAACCGGTGTCGCTCAAATCAACTTTAACATACCCCCGTAAAATTTAAAGGACTAAAACCATAGAGCCAATTGATTTGACACCATAACCTGACGCACTAGAAAACTTAAACTCGTCACGATGAGGAGTTTGGAGCTAGCATGGTGGGCAGCACATCCATCTTCAACAGCAAAACCTGTCTAAACCTGTCTTCCCCAACTAAACAACTAAACCAATTTTCCTTCTTTAGAATTAAACAACAAAGCCATAGGATTTCAAAGTTGTCTGCTTATGCAACATAAATCTTTACCTAATCTTTAAGCCTTTGCACAGCTATGTTGTACAATAAACCCTAACTCGTCTTAGTATTCCTAGGTTGTCGTTCATCACGACCTAAATCCTCTAATCTTCCAGGCTATTTGTGAGATTATTTCACATGAATGTAAGCCCTAAATTAATAAAATTGGCAGGATGAAACACCTAAATATTTCTCCTTAATACTGAAGCCAAACCATATGATAGTTTGGGAGGTCATTGAGGTTCTCCTCCGGATCTATGACATCCCCTAATTCTTCCTCCTTTGGACTCTACAACAAAATGTTCCAAATTTGAGTCATTCCCCTTTCACAACTCGTTGTCTGATTTCGTTGAAAAGTCCTATCCTTTTTAACTCCTTGAAGATAATATATCTTGATTTTTATCTAGAGTTTTCTTGAGTGACTCTGGTCATTTATGATGTAATTAACTATAGGGAATTAACTATAGGGGCTTGACTATAGGGGCTTGACCTTATAAGAAGCTTGTCTGAACCCAGCTTAATATAAACCCTATTTAATTCTTCAAATTAAATAGGGAAACTTGTCGGCAAATAAAATGGTTTCTCAGACTAAAAGTTTGATTTTATATTTTTCTAAACTATATATAAGTAAATTAAACGCCTTTCCGAAGCGAGCGACGCGATTTTGATTCTGGCAGCCGACAACTTATAACGGACAACTCCTTAACCAAAATTATACCGACACTCATGTGATCCATTTGAGTTCTTACTAGCTTCGATGGTTTTTCCTGCATTAAATCTATTATCAAATGTGGGTTGTCTATGCAAGAAAACTTAGAAATCCTAAACTTATTAAAGAAAGTGTTAGCCATTATGATTGGACCAAAGTACTATTTCACATTACTAGTTTAATTGATGTACGTGAAATCCATTCTCTAGAACTCATGTGCGTGGGTTTTACTCCTTATGAAGTTGCGCTTTTTCTCTATCGATGATTATTTTTTTTTGTAGTACTTTAATTCATTCATTTAAATAACATACCATCATTCTAATTTTGGTACTTACCAAGTAATCTTAACTAGAATGATACATTTTCTCATACTTTATTACCAATGCAGTGGCATACGCTTATTTGTGTGTGATTTTTGCATCAATAAAGTTTACATAGACATTCATCCGGCATAATGTTGGATATAGAAGTCAAAATTATGTCCTATGTTTGAAAGATACTACATAGGGAGACCTTTGGGTACCCAATTAAAATGTTCTTTTGTATTCCACCGCCAAATAAATTGTCAAACTATGGTTGGTAATAGGCTATAGAATATTTACTAAGATGTATGGTTAGAGAGGGTCCTTAAAATAGGACTACTTCCACCTATCAGAACTCAAGTATAATAACATTATATATATATATAGAAAAACCAAGCAATTACCTTTAGAAATAGCTTATGATTACAATCCTAGGAAATCTATTATTAGTTAACATGCCTATTTAAAGTATCTTTTGATTAAGCATTTATTTTTCATGTGATTTTCTTTAATTTCATGAAGATATAAGAAAATGGTTTAAATACTAATATGCAAAGTATAATAGAAAAAGAAACATAAATAAAAATTTTCAAGATTATAATATATATATGATAATGAACTTATATGTAAATGATCTAAGAAGCTTCATTCATTAAAATATAAAGAGTTGTAAATGAGATCATATGGGGCTTTCAAGAGAATTAGTAAGGTTAATATTAGTTTTTATTAACTAAATTATTTTCTAATGTATTTATTTGCCTTTTTTCAATATGAAATAATTAATCACCTTTAAAGGAATTACTCAACCTAAAAAAATATAAGATACTTTTTTTTTACAAAATGAGATAAACATTATTTGCATGTGTCCATCAAAACTTCATTATTTATAGCAGAATATATCATTACAAGTGAGATTCCAACTAACTAGTATAAGGATTACATAGTTCTTAAAAAGTGTAAAAATAAGCCACTATTAGCGGACGCATAGCTTACTAAAGATGATTTAGAAAAGCTTGCACCAAAGTAGTGTAGGACTCCATCAGCACCAATTCTTCAGTAAGAAGTTATTTAAGGTCTAGGAGAATTGATATCAAATGAGATGGGCAAAGTACTAACCCCAAGAAAAATGGATCAGCAAGTAGGCACAAGATAAGAGATTGGAAAATAATAAAGGTTCAATGAAAAGAAGTGAATTGAAGTAAATTAGAGCTTAGAAATTTTCTATTATTAGTGTAGAAAGTGTTTTTATATTCCTATAAAATTTTAATTTTTTGTGCAATCTTGTAAGAGACATGTAGGAGGTGTGATATATGTGTGTTCAAGTATAGTGTGCTTAAAATGAAGGAATGGCTGGTCATATCATAGTCGAAGTAGTTAGGGCATTTACAATTGAGGCCTAACCCCCTCCTTATCTCTTATTTTATATATTTGAATTATTGTAGTAGTGGTGAGTAGTTTTGAGTTTGAAAATATAATTATTATTTGTTTACTGGAATTATTTTTTATAGTTCTTATCATGAACAAAGTTAGGAGTGTAAACTTTCATGTGGTGAGGCATGGTGTTCGACCAAAAGCATAAGGGGTTTTGGCGATCTCGCCCTCTCAAATACTTTAGTGAGTGAATTAGTTCTATATGTTAGAAACGATGGAGCCCGGTCCACTCTGCTTGGGTGGTAACTTTGCTTTGGAGAGTCACGCCTCTTTACAAATAACCACTCCCGCCTTCCTCTTTTGTGAAGTGAAGCATCTCTTCGCTCCCTCCTATTCATGATAAAAGCTTCAGATGGCTCTCCTTGGGTTTAGTAGTCACGTTTTGAGTTCTTCGATTTCCTTGGGATAGAGGAAGGTTTCCTCGGGGCAGAGGAAGAGAAGTACAAAGAGGAGCAATTCCTTGCGGCAGAAGGAAAAGAAGAAAGAAGAAGAAGATTATTCTCCCTAGGCTTCTTCTTGGTGGCTTGTGGCAGAAGAAAAATTGAGTTTACTTCTCTTATAAGTTTGTCTTCTTCAGTGTATCTCGGTGTAGAGTTTTCTTCGGTGTATCTCGGTATAGAGAGAGAAGAATAGAGAAAGAAGAAGAGAGAGAGCAACAAAGAGTGAGAGATTCCTTTTCTAAGTTGAGGTGATTGACTGGTATAAATTCCTCAAGTAGTAAAATCCTCTACAACTCCGTGGAAGTAGGCAATTTGCCGAACCACATAAATCTGTGTGTTCCGCTATGTTGTTCTTTTTGGTGTGATTTTTTCTCGTTCTATTTTTTACTTCGTCAATCATTCTCCTATTTGATTTATATGTATACCACATTAACTGGTATATCTAGATCTGGTGATGAAGTGAAGGTTTGTTCGGATATGAGGAAGAATGATGGCTGCATATGAAGTGAAGGTTTCAGGGATCGAAAAATTTGATGGCACGGATTTTGGTTATTGGAGGATACAGATAGAGGCCTACATCTATGGGAAGAAACTTAATCTTCCGTTATTAGGAAAAAGACCTGAAAGGGTGGATGAGGCTGAATGGACTTTGTTGGATCGACAAGTTATGGGGATTATTCGATTGAACCTATCGAGGTCCGTTGCACACATCATCGTCAAAAAAAGGATGATTGCAGATCTCAGGCACCTTATCAGGTATGTATGAAAAGTCATAGACAAATAACTAGGTGCACTTGATAAAGAATTTATTCAATTTGAAGAGGACGGAAGGTGTTTCTCAGCTCAACACCTAAATATTTTCAATATTATCAAAAATCAATTGTCGTTTATGAAAATTGATTTTGGTGATAAGATATGTGCACTAATCTTATTGGCTTCATTGCAAGATAGTTAGGAAGCCACAAGGGAAGGAGGATAGCAGTTAGCAGTTCTACCACGAGGATAGCAGTTAGCAGTTCTACAGGTAAATTTAAACTAAAATATGATGATATTCGTGATTTGATTTTGGTTGAGGAAGTTCGCAAAAAAGATTATAGCGATGTCTCATGTTCGAGTTTGACACTGAATGTTGATTTCAGAGGGAGATGGCATGACAAGAACTCAAGTATAGGGAGATCAAAATCAAAGTTTAGTAAGCAGACAAACTATTAAGCAGAAAAACTATTGGAATTGTGGCAAGGCTAGCCACATAAAGAAGAACTGGAAGAATCCTAAGAAGATGGAGAATGATAGTGCAAATGTAGTATCTAAAGAATCACAGAATGCACTATTGTTGACAGTTCATAGTTTTGTTGAAGACTTGATGTTAGATTCAGAGGCTTTAAATGTGGTAGTAAATCTACCACAGGCCACAGTGCAGGGCAGTGATGGTAGTGAAGAAGAAAGTGGGTTCCTATTGTTCTACAGACAGATGGTGGAGAACCACAAAACTATGAGAAAATCTTTCAAGATGAAAGTTCGAGCAAGTGAGAGCTAACAGAACTTCCACCAGTGAAGAATGCATTACAAAAAAAGTGGGTGTGCCGAGTGAAGACTGAACGTGATAGTAGTAAGAGGTACAAGGCTATACTTGTTGAAAAAGGCTTTCAACAGAAGCTCTCAGAGGCAGTATATTGCCCATGCAGTGGGAGTTATAAGAAGAGATAAGAGTGGCTCAAGAAATAGCTTGGAGGTGCAAACCTATGTGGAGCCTGCTGATATGTTGACTGAGGGTGTTACCTCTTGAGAAACTGAAGTTGTGCACTGCTTCAGTTGGTCTTTTGTAGTGAAGACAGAGGCTTTGAGTTGCAGAGGTGGAGGATTCAAGTTGGAGGATTCTAGGTGGAAGATACATGTTAAAGAAAAAGGCGACACCGCCAGTGGAGGAAATTAGTTTGAGGAATGAGATGTTGCAACCTGTGTACCGGTCTCCAAGTGGGAGAATTGTTCGAAACGGTGGAGCCCGTTCCACTATGCTTGGGCGGTTACTTTGCTTTGGAGAGTTACACCTCTTTACAAATAACCATTCCCGCCTTTCTCTTTTGTGAAGTGAAGCATCTCTTTGCCTCCTCCTGTTCGTGATAAAAGCTTTGGATGGCTCTCATTGGGTTTAGTATTGAAGTTTTGAGTTCTTCTTCGGTTTCCTCGGGATAGAGGAAAGTTTCCTCAGGGCAGAGGAAGAGAAGTGCAAGGAGGAGCAGTTCCTTGCAGTAGAAGGAAGAAGAAGGAAGAAGAAGAAGATTGTTCTCTCTAGGCTTCTTCTTGGTGGCTTGTGACAGAAGAAAAATTGAGTTTATTTCTCTTGTAAGTTTGTCTTCTTTGGTGTATCTCGGTGTAGAGTTTTTTTCGGAGTATCTCAGTATAGAGAGAGAAGAAGAGAGAGAGAAGAAGAGAGAGAGCAACGAAGAGTGAGATATTCCTCTTGTAAGTCGAGGTGATCGACTGGTGTAAATTTCTAACTGGTGTAAATTTCTCAAGTAGTAAAATCCTCTGCAACTCTGTGGAAGTAGACAATTTGCCGAACCACGTAAATCTGTGTGTTCCATTGTATTGTTCTTCTCTGATGTGATTTTTTCTCGTTCTATTTTTCACTTCGTTGATCATTCTCCTTTTTTATTTATACATATACCACATCAATTGGTATATCTAGATCTCGCAACATCAACACTATATTGATAAACATTTCTATTTTAATTTATTATGATTTTCTTTCTTTGGTTCTCTTTACTATACAAAACAAAATTTGTATAGCAAATTGTTTCTGTGTGCCTAATTCTAGTGTAAAATAACAAAATATATAAATACATATTTTAAAAATTTTGAAACTTTCTAGACTCGAATACCTAAAATGTCTACATCATCTCAAGGCTCAGAGTTATCCCAATTACTTATGTCATCATTCACTATATACTCTCGGGTTGGACTTTTTGTTTCCTTTGATGGTGCTTCAAACTTAAATCTTAAATTAAATATAACACAACCAATCCATAAATTACTTTCATGGGTCTGTTGGAAAGTTTTTGGCTTGCAAAATATCACTTCAAGTCTTTAAATTTCAGGTGACACTTCAAATTAGTATTAAAGCCAGGGTTGGTGAGAGAGTACTACTAATTCACCATGTGGTGAAAATTGAATTTTTCAAAAAATATTAACTCTATTTGCAGATTAGTGAAATTTCCTTTTGACTTATGTGGCAATCCATATATAAAAATGTCATCCTTCAAATGTTATTCTATGTTGATTCTAAATTTCTTATTTGGCATGTCTTATCAAATCTCTTTTAGAACGAGTGACGACTAATGAGCACCGAGTGATGAGGATGAGTTCAACAGATTTTGTGGACTATCTCAACAACTTAAAATATGAAGGAGAATTCCAGCCATACAACATTAAATTTGTCTTCATATTAATAAAAAAACTTCAATTAATATAATTAATTATTTTCCGAAAACTTACGGTTGACGGATTTACCTCTTTAAATGATTGGTTTTTATAATTCCAAAAATGATATCTTGTTAATGGTACATTTTTTAAGTGTTCTTTTCAAAAATCAATTGATTGTAAACGATGCATCAAGCAGAGCAAAAAGCCAATACGAAAATAACATTTTAATGAATAATCTTAAAAGACAACAGTAACAAAATCGCCCCAAATCTGGCAAAATAAAAGAAACTACCTGTGGATCTCCACAGAAGTATAGTAGCTAGCTAGAAAAAAGAGGAAGGCAAAGGAAGAAGAGAGAGAGAGAGAGAGACAGAGGGGCAGGCTAAAAGTTAAAAAAAAAAGGAAAAAAACC